TGTCTCTGATAGAGATCCTCGCTTCACTGGGAAGTTTTGGAATTCCATCTTCAAGGTGCTCGGCACACGTTTGGACATGTCCACAGCGAATCATCCGCAGACCGATGGTCAAACGGAGCGCGTTAATCGTGTCATTGGTGACATCTTGTGCAGTGTTTGCGCTGAAACACCTAAGCGTTGGAGCTCGATGCTCCCTGTCGTTGAGTTTGCGTTGAATAACGCTGTGCATGCCTCCACCGGCTTTACCCCGTTCTACGTGAACGGTTTCACACACCCTCGCGTTCCGTTAACGCTACCACTACGTGGTTCAGGGCTTGGTGGGGGAGGAGTTGCCGATCGGCTTGCTGATATCAGCCCTGCTACTGTTCAAAAACAGGTAAGCGAGTTTCTCGCAACGCGATTGAATGTCTTACGACATGTGCGTGACGCACTGGCTGATAGCCAAGATAAGCAGAAGGAATAAGCAGATGCCAAAGGCAGAGGTTGTATTGAACGTTATAAGGTCGGAGACCAAGTTCTACTCAATGCTAAAAACCTACCTACAAATGTAGTATCCGCCGTCTTCAAGACGAAGTTGCGCCCGCGCTTCATTGGACCCTTTACGGTCGTCGCCAAGAAGGGACTTGCGTATACGCTCAACCTTCCGCGCAAACTGCGCACACACCCCGTGTTCTACGTTGGCATGCTTAAGCCGTATCGGGATCCGTCCCACGTGAACTTGGAGGCGCTTGCGCCGGGTAGGTTGGCTTTGCCATCGGTTGCTGAATCCGTATCAGGAGGTCAAGCTGAGCCTCCATCCGGGCTTGGCCCAACTCCAACGCCCGAACACGGGCTCGCATTGCGTCGAACGCACTCTGGGTCTGACCCAACGTCCCACGGAGACCACTCAGCTCGAGAAGCACCTTCTCGTGCTCCTCCTTCGGTATACCGACCACCTCCGACGCTGCTCGATGAGCAAGGGAACCGCCAGTTCCATGTGGAACGACTCCTGAAACGACGTCGTCGTCAGGGTCAATACCAGTATCTGGTAAAGTGGCGAGGGTACCCGGAGTCGGAGAACTCGTGGGAATTTGAGGTACCCCTTCGGCAGGATTGCCCGTACGCCGTTGATGTTTTTGAACATCGTGGCAGGGGTCATCCTTCGACCGATATCGCTTCCCACCAATAGTGGTGGAAGCAGGTGGGTCGTTTGGTTCCGCTTGACCAACCCCCACTTCCATCGGCACAGCCGGAGCATAGCGGGTGCGAAATCGCAATTGGCCTCTGGCCTTAAGCTTGGCATAGTCATACCGAAGCTTCCGTTCGAGACGAACATCTGCCACATTGGCACTTGCTCTGAGAGCTAGCATGCTGCTGAGGTGACGTTTCCGGTGCACCCAGCGCACAAAAGTGTTGTCCTCCTCCTCCGGAGATTCGCCTGCGAATAAGAGGATGGGTATACCCCTCATCGGTGGCACCGGTGCACCCCGTGCTTGCGTGTCAAGTCGCAACATGTATTGACTTAGAGTTGTCAAGTAGGGTTGCAGGTACCTCTCACGAAGTGCCTGTCGGCTCGCCACTTCATCAGAAGATGTAGGCTCAGCGCCAATGGCCCACGTTGCCAGGGAACGACCTGTCGTTTGGCGTATACGCTCTTCCACATTGAGTGGCGTGAACTGATAGCCACGACGACCCTCAAGGTCTGCAGAAAGCTGCATACGGCGCTGAGCGCTCTCCTCTTGTTGGATAACCAACTCTTGTTGCTCATCGAGCGGGTTGGTGATGATGTGTTCACCTGCATCTGTTGCATGATGCTGCGTTTCTAACGCGGTGGTCTCACTACGCTCGGCAAATGGGTTTGGTGCAGTATGAGGCGATGCCTCTTGCACTGGTGAGTTGGACATTGTCCGTTCTTCACCACGGACATCGGTATCACTACCATAGTCCTCCCCCACATTAATGCCGAGGTAAGAAGAGAGAGTCGGGGACTCGTAAGGTGGCGATGCCATGGTGTTTCGTGCTTTGCAAACCGTGAGGTTAGAGCGCACACACACCGTCCTCTTCGAGGAAAAGTTCGATTGACGTTTTGTGGTAACGTCAGTCTGGTGGGGGAGGGTGTAACGGGGTTACACGTCGGCTGGTAGCCGACGATAGGTGTGGTGCACACACGAGAGGGGGGTATTGTAACGGGGTTACACGTCGGCTGGTAGCCGACGATAGGTGTGGTGCACACACGAGAGGAGGGTATCCTATAAGGTAATATTAGAACACAGTGAGCGTATCAATTGTTGAAGACTGGTGTCTGTCATCAATTGATTGCAAGATCTTTTAAGAGGTTATTTAGGGCAGGTTAAATACGTTGTTCTAAGGTGTTCTTTTAGGTTAAATGAAGAAATAAAATTCAGTTCCCATTTTGATCAACATAAGACACGTGCCTTTCAGGCGTCTTTGATCGGGAGGACAGAAGCAACGCCTGTAAAGGTAGCTTGTCCTCGAGCACTCTGTGCTGTGATTCATTTGAATCGTTTGGTCCCTCAGGAACGGGGACCGTAAGCTCTCTGAGCTGTTGACTCTCTGAGTCGGGTTCTCTGAACCACCCTTTAAGCTCTCTGAGCTGTTGACTCTCTGAGTCGGGTTCTCTGAACCACCCTTTAAGCTCTCTGAGCTGTTGACTCTCTGAGTCGGGTTCTTTGAACCAAAGTTGCACATTGAGCGTAAAGTCTTCCTCTGACTTAAGGAGCTGTGTAGCTCCGCTACACCTGTGTACCGAAAACTCATTGTAGTGAGCCTTACGGGTCAACGTTTGTTGTCTTACAAATTAAGGTCATGACAGCAACGTACTGAGCGACGGAATACTGTCCGTTGTTGTGATAAGGCTCATGACGACTCACATTGGACTGCTCTGGCAGCATCTGTGCGAGCGACACAGTCTTACCTGGCCGTAGCTCCACGACGTACTGGATTCCATCGATGAAGCATGACAGAAGTATTGTGAAGACGAGAGGCTCCAGTGCTCGTCACTATGACCGCCAAAAGCGCATGATGCGCTAGACCACTTCTTCCGTGTGCTCCTTCTCGGCGATAGAGCCACTCTTTGCAGTTGTGGTCGTCAGAGCTGGAATATACGTTGGCAGATCCATGGTGTCCATATTTGCGCTATCGTGCTATGTCAACGGCATGACAGTGGGTGCAGCATCAAGGAGTTGCAGCATGCACTACGTCGGTTGCAATTCGGACCGAATAGTCGCGTGCAAACGAAGGACGCGGCACTCTGCTCGTACAGCATCACCGAGATACTGACGCGTAATCTACTACATATCCTGATCGAAAAAACATACAGAATGGTACGCAACCCGACCGAGTGTGTCGCCGTATTACGATATTGCGACGGGTTGCCAAGCGTCACACCGGATTCACGGCTATACCCGACTGAACTTCGCAGATCATACTCGTATCCACCGACAAGACTCCAAGTGGGAGCAGTGTAAGCAGCAGAACGATTACGAAGTGCTAATCGATCAACTTTGTACCGATTTCTGTCCCTCAAGACACAGCGTAGGATAGGAAAAAGGAGCAAAGATGTTCAACGGCATGTAAAGGTTCTCTTGTAGTCGCCTTACTGCGCAGATGTGATTATTATGCGATCATATTTAGCTCCATTTAGTTAGGGTAAACATGTCTTTGTTTGTAGATCTTACGTAATTTACCACACATATCCTTTTGACTTTTTATGTACATATGAACTATCAAATGATACAGCTTTTAAATGTACTATGTTATCTATTGTCATATTACGCTATATTGTTACTTTTTTACCTTCTTTCGTAAACACAATTCTTAGATCATGGGGATAACCCCGAATCAAATTACCCCAAATCAAATTCTCTGAAGAGTCTCCACAAACACGCACTTCTTCAACGCGATGTAGCATCACCGATACTTTTGTTAAATACCGACAATAGATGCGCTTACGTACAATACTTGCCACAAAGCCAGGTCTCCTAAGACATAAACTAATTTGATTTATGCACGCCACCGGCGTTAGTTTATGCAAAGCTAGTTTTGACGCAGTTTACTGCAGCAAAGCTGCTTCGCTTGAAAATTCCTTCAAGCGAAAGATGCCTCAGGTCCGTTCTGTTCGAGTCCGCCTCCCATTTCAGAATTGTGCGCAGTCGCAGATATTTGCCAGGCGCCACGTCCCAGGCGTCGTCAAAGGTTGTCTTGACGTCGTGCTCGTCGATGGCACAGCGCAGGATGGGACCGTTCTTGTAGGCGGCGACCAGCTGGCGATGATCCTCCTCGACCTGGTCGATTTCCTCAGCAGACCAGAAGCGTAGAATACGCTCACGGTGCGGGTCCAGCACATCGCGAATGAAGTAGGCCGGCAGAAGTCCGATCAGTTCGCCAAGTAGAACTGGTGGCGACACGAGCTCCCGCGGCAAGTTGTTGTCGTCGCGCTCTGCCCTCACGGCTTGCAGGTCGATCACCAACGTTTCCGTATAGGCCACAATCTGCTTCAGGACGAAAGTCTTCTCGGCCTCATCTAAGCGCAGCAAGCAATCGCGGGCCATTGATCCCTCATCCTCGATCAGGGTGACGAGGTGGTCGGTACGGACACGCATTGTCTTGAACCGCACGAATTCGTCGTCCTCCTCCGGGTCGGCATCGTCCTGATCGATGAGTTTGAGTTCGAACATGGTTTTGATCGTGGCGACTAGCACCATGATGTGGGCCTCTTGCTACGCCAGCAGCAGAGACCGGTTCTGCAGCAGGGCAAATGTGATGTTGATCGCGTTAATGGCCGACGCGATAGAGTAGGTCACGGTCCACCACGAGTCAGTCGGCAGCATCCCGGCGTGATTCTCCTCGGTTAATATCATCAGCCTACGCCAATTCTCCTCTAAATTTCAGCACGTTTCCGAGATGCACCCAGCGGTTCGTCTTTTTGGGGCACTTGACGCCTATTTCGATGGTCAGATTGTTCTGAGCGCGCAGGTAGACGGTGTAGGAATAGGCAAACTTTATCCACGCCCCGCCGTTGATTCCGTCGGCACTCTGCTTGGCAATGATGTCGATCTGGTGGGAGCGCACCAGACGCGCAGGACATTGTACTCGGCGGCCGACACCAGCCTCGTGACGAGGTCGCGGTGGCGCCCGGTCATCGTATTCTCGCCGTCGCTCGACACGCCGATCAAATTGTCCCGCCAATTCGGGAAGAGCGCGTCCATCAGCTTGGCAATCATGTTGAACATGTTCTCGGCTGTGTGGCGGTCGAACATGGGGAGCGCAACCAGATGCAGGTTGAGGAGCCGGCCGTGCCAGTACAAGCGCAGGCGCAGGTCGAATAATGAATGTCCGAGGTGTGTGCTGACGTCACCGGCCAAAGAGAGCGCCCAGACCTGGTCGTCGTTGCTGAGCATGTCGGCAATACGTTTCAGCGCGATTGCGACTTGCACTCGGATGAACTTGCCGACTATGAGGTCGTTGATGCCGGCCAGCTTTGGCAGTTGGGCCCGGTTTTCGGCGTGTCCGATTGAGATAGCCGTCTGCCTAAACGAAATCCCTACACCAACATGATCAATCACTAAGTGGTATCGCATCGGATTCTTGATATTCACCGTGTACGACGCCGCCCCCTCCACTGCTAGCTCTGCCGGCTTAAACAACAATATGGCGTGTTTCTTCTGCTTGGCTAGCTTGGCGATTCTGTAGAACGCTGCTGACGCCACGTCCTCTTCCGCTTCGTCGTCGCTGTGCGCCTCGATCGCCTCGGTGTTGAAGAACAGCTCTCCGATGATCGTCTGAACGATGAGCGCCTTGATCGTGTACTCGATCGTGTCACTGATCAGGTCCATGTGGATGTGCAGTGTGTTGGCGTTTTGGACCTTGTTTTTGAAGTACGCCATCTTCGCTAACGTCGAGCACTGCTGGTACGCCTCCCATGATTCCTTGTGCTGCCCGTTGAGGTGACTTTGGTAGTTTAAGGGCGCGAACGGCTTCGTAAAATACTTGGTGTCGTCGCGGCTTTTGCTCTTCCGAATTCCTTCCTCGTTGACCGTCACCTGGTCACGGCCCTCGAAAGCGCAGAAGTTGCACTGCACCGTTGGGTTGCCGTATTTATCCCGGGAGACAATCTCGAGACCGAACTCCAGGCAGTGCTTGGATTGGAATGGAGTGGTGCGCGGCGGCATCGGAATGGGCTCGGGTGGCGGGTTCAGTCAGCTAAATGAGTAGAACGTGGGTGGTCGGCGGACTCGGCGCGGAACGGCGCAACACCAAAAAATCTCTTAGTTTATGCACGTCGCGGTCCTTAACTTATGCACATGCATACCTATTTTTAGCTTGTGCATAATTTTGTGAGGCCTGCACAAAGCCCTCTCTCTACTCATCCGCCAGCGCACTCATATCACCAGTGATGAGCAGTTCAGAGATATTTATCAATTGGCCGCAAATCATGACCGGCGACAAAGGCAGTTGTCAGAGTTAAAGGACACATCAGAATCTGCAGATGATGTACCCTTTTCAAAAGCCCCTAATGGCTGGTAAACACTTTGGTGGCTCGCGAAAGCACATTTCCTTGAATCGTCAAGACGAAAAGGGTCTCGACTGTTTGACCATACGCTGACTTGCAGACATCCATATCGCAAACTTCCGTTCCAAACTTGCTGTCAATCCCTTCACACGAATCACTTTTCAGTGAGCATGTACCAACCACGCATTTGATCCATTCGCGTAGGCAAGATCGGCTGCAAAAGGCCATGTGCGTGCTTTTTGCTTACACTTCGCATCTCTTCGCGTCGGAAGTGGTGTGTCGATGTACGACATATCCTCTTCTGCAGTTGTCGTCACCTGTCGTCGCAATGCCTTACGGAGTAACACGAGACGTTACTTGTTCAGCTCAATTAATTACGATTCTATGCATAGGATAGAAGCATCCTCCCTCGGCGGCGCTCTAAGATGAATTTGCCGCTTGAGTCTCTCAACTCATCCGCAAACGCGCTCATAGAACCAGCGGCGAGTAGTCCAGCTTGGTCGAACATAGATGCTTGTTTGCAGCTTATGTACAGACTCCATGTGTGCCTGCAGATTGCATCCGGGGTTACACGCTCACACACCTTGTCATCTCCACGTGAAGTACTTTTGCTAGTGTCTACCGTCACGAAAAACTTGTCGAGACGCGTTTGTGCAGCAGGAACTATACCTGTGCACTCAATAGATTCCTCAGTTGGTCACATGGCTTCGAATTCTCCATCAGTTTCAAGTATAGTAAACGGTTAGATGATTGTGTTGCAGGCGCACGGAGCAAGTTGCTGCAATGAATGCAGGGGGCGAGTCTTTCGTCGAACTAGCCACCCTATTCGCAAGTCACGCGTGTGTGACAAGGCGGTGAGGTCGTTTGTATCGGATACTTGCGCATCTCATTGCTTCGTGCTATCCGGACAATGAGACCTCATTCAGTCTCGAAAGGTCGGTATACAGATTCTCGTGTGTCGTGACATTTCCTGTTGTCTTGTGCGGGCAATCTTGCTGGCCCATGTCGAATGATGATCATACAGACGACGGCGGTCTTTGGTCAACCATAGCGTTATTCCTAATATCCTTCCGCACTAGTTGTCTTGATCCCCGTCATACTCATGACACACATACATTCGCTCTAACGGTCGAGTCGGGTACATTCTCGCGTGATGATTGCTTCGGCTGTATCCCGCCCGACCCAACATCTTGACCAGTGCTTGGCCGGTCAGCAGAAGATGAGGTTGAGCAACGAAATATAGCAACGCCACTACTGCTTGTGCAGGGTATCCACACGTTTGGGATTGCCTCCGCCATAGAAAGCGAATCTCCCTTCCTTTCGTATCGTTGTGTCTTCGAATGCATCGTCCAACACGCTTTCCTCGAGCACCACTTATGCATAAAGTCAGCATCTCTAGCTTCGATCGAAGGAGGCGCACCGATTTCAGCTTAGCGTATGACAGAGCAAACCCCTATGCCGCAACACTGGCGTGGACATGACTGCCGAGGATAGCGAAAAATCTCGATCGACATCAACGCCTCGCACAGGGCATTGCCGGCACAAGTGACCATCTTTGCCCAAATCATGCCTTGATGTCCCTTTGCCTCAGTCTTCCCTTCATGTCCCTTCGTCGTCACAAAATACAGCGCTAGTGAGTTACATACGTTTGGCCGATTGCGGATCTGATTGCGAGCTGTCGTTTGACAATATGCAGAAATCATCGTAGTCGCTGATCACGTGACGTTTGCAGCTTCAGCAAGGTCCGAATGCACTCGACGGTATGGAGTGCGAATTCATGTACGAGAGGCGACGTAAGGGCTGTGCACAAATAGGTCTTCTGGCACGTATTATAAAGTGATGGAAGAAATGATGATGGTCGCAAACTTGTGGGATGGATTAGGTACCCAGCACCATTCGTGTCAACATGCCAAACTTAACTGTTGCCATCGGTACGCAGCAATCTGGTTGCTCTTCGTCTATTCAGCAACATTGTCTGCATTTTGTGACGAGGACGTTTGAGCTATGCTAAGCTGATGCCGTAAATAGAGTTAGCGAGATAGCGCTACATTACGCTGGATACTTATCGAAAGTAGCGCGACGATAAAGACACTTTTCATTTAAAATGTACAATTCAAAAGTATCTTACGACGACGGCAGGTTTTCTCACCGCAATAGGACTGCAAAAATTGCATCCCTCTAGGACAGCAAATTTATTGCATAACAATGGGACCATCCATCGAGCGGGCGAGTTGCTCGCCACATGTCTTCTCGTTCTCAATCTGTGTGTAGGACATGCTGGCATGGTAAATTTGCACGGACGTACAAGATTCGCCTTTCTACTATTGATCCACGCGTCAGCGGTAACTCGTAGGATTGCAACTACTACGGCCCTGATGCATCTCTAGCTACAATACCTCGGTGGCTCATTCTATCGCGTCAAACATACACACAACAGATCTATATTGCCAATGTCGGTCCTCATCCACATCGACCAGATAAAGAAGAGACGAGCTTCCGCCGAAGAGATGGGCTGTTTGCTAAGACATGCAGACCTGATTGGAAGCGTCACGTAGCGAAAGTCGCTCGGCAACAGCCACCCGCCCTCTCATTGTCGAGGCAAGACAATCGTCTGTGCTTTCATCTGTGCAACGCGATACAGTATAGTTTATCGTCCTATTGCCTCGTATCACAGCTGAGAATTGTGCAAAAGGAAAGTGTCACGCAATACAGTCTTCACTGAAGCAGTCGAGACAAGATGGTAAGTAAGGATCACAACGAGTCACCGGTGTGCGTGTAACTCCAAGTATACAAAAGTCACTAGCTTACCCGTTGTGATTGGGGTCAGCAGGTAAGTATGACTCTACGTAGAGACAGAGGGTCCCACCAACGCCAGCCACCTTCATCTCACTTGTCATGGAAAACGCTGGAATGAGCTCGATGCAAGCCAGGTCTTGCCACAATAGCGTCTCATGGCAATGCTGCTCGCCGGCATTCTTAAGTGCTCTTTTCGTGCAACAGTCGTCAATGCGTCGACCATCTGCGACCCGAGTCGACTAAAATGACGCAACGACAATGCAGGAGAACTGCATGCCGCGCCGAGCAAAATGCACCAAATGAACGAAATACAATAGAAGAGTGCACCACAAGATAAGATAATAACAAATGCGTCGAAGAATGCATTTACACAACTGTACATTGCAAAAGGGAAGAATCGAAAATGCTCGGACGACGACGAGGTACTAGACGTGCAAATGAACACATTGTGCGATCGCTCAGGTCTCTCCACGTGTATCATCTCAATTTCCCCACTTACATATTTCGTCCGAACTCTTGCGAGTTCTTCAGTCGTCAGGCATTTTGGGAGAAGGAAAATGTGTGTTGGCCTATCAGGTGTAGCCTGACAGTGATATCTTTGTGTTGTATGTAAGGTCACGTTCATGTACCTATTTTATTCGAATCAAACTGGTTGGACGTGGTATGCATGTGTGTAATCTTGACGGTGACGTAGTACATGGATGGAAAAGGAAGCGCTGTGTCGTAGTGTCTCTTTACAACAAATAATGTAACGGATGTCTCAGGAACGGATACATGCGTCGCTAGACGACGTCTTTAACACGGTAGCCGGAAGGAACAACATACTAAGCGGCTCACAGAAGCTTAGGTGCTTATGTAGGTGATCATGCATCTGCTTACAGACACGCAATGCGACTAGTAAGCTGATAGATTGCGCGATGCTGATGAAGTGTCACGATGTCAAGCAACAAAGATGCCAGTATAGGTCACTAGCAAATCTGTCAGAATCGGTCGTGTTGTTTATGATATGCAGATGGACGTCTAGAAACCGTGAAGATGGATGCAGATTTGTCGATGCAGCAAAGTTGTTCAACAGAGCTCAGGTTTCGAGTGTTAGAGTACGTCAATTATAATCTTCTGAACGATACTCATGATGTTTTTCCACCAATACTACAACTACAATACAATTTATAAGCATGTGAACACGTAGTCGCTTCCTATGGGATATTATATCTTTCGTATTTGTAGCTTATATTTCCGAAGCAGTCAACACTGAGCGGAAACGATTGATGCCATTGACCTAACTCCCGATGATACGACGATACCATAGGGCTACGCTCGAAGCTTACAACGTACCTCACCCCCCTTACAAAACTTCAATTGACTCAATTGCTTGACTAGACTTCTTTGCGACTTCTTCGATGGAAGACAGAATAGAAGTTCGCAAAGGTACTTTCGACACCGACTAACAAAAGAAGGATTTACATATATGTAGATGCAATGAAAGATCCGGCGATGCGTGTTACGAAGGCCAAGATAGCATGCATCTATAATATAAGAAAGGAATCTTGTACGAACAGCAGAAATACAGGCTCAAAAACTTGGGATGTAGTTCTACTGTCCAAACAGGATTACTTTTTTCTTTCGACAAACAAGTACTGCTGCTCGTAATGCAACTATCACACACCTCAACGAGGTCACGCTCTATCGTATACATGCGCCTTTACGCAAATCAGTCGGCACGGGGTACGACCGTACCGTTATTGACGGTCTTACGAAGTCGAATGACACAGCAGTAGGCGCAGCCTCCCGCAAAGACATCAAGAGCGACGACCGGACGATCGAGGAGCTCGCAAAGAGGGTCAGATCGTTGACCAGGTCGGACCTGGGCTCCCAGACGTACAAACTCTCGCTCGCACCGCGGGCTTTCGGGGCTTCGCATGTAAGAAAAATACATAGACCCGCGTAAATGCTTCGCCTTGCGCACGCGTTGTAAGGACAAAGGGGAGGATATGTACGTTGCAACGGATTAAGTGATCATAGCCTTGTTCGTGTGCAGAACCTCAGAGGATGTGGTGCGGGTACTGGCGTCGCTTCATGAAGTGGAGGATGAATAATGCTACGCGATGTCACTGTACAGACAGCTACTTGCTGCTTGCCCCGAGATCGAGAAAAGTGCCCCCGAGGATGGGGATGAACGTAGGTCTGAATGCCCGAACAACCTTTTCAGCTCACCGGCGTACGCAGGAAAGACTCGCGTGAAGCAGACACGCTTTTCGTATCCGAGTGGTTTATGCTCATTGAGCTGTACGAAACAGAGCACTCCGATTCTACATTCGGCGCTGACGGAGCAGCAAAACTTCTGTTGCACAACAAAGAAGTAGAAGAATAAAAAGATTTGTGGAGCGCACTGTAGACGACAGTTATTGCTCGACATTTGCTACATCGCTGCGTCAATTGTTCGATAAACATGTACTACGGGTCGGACAAAGAAGAGAGATATGCGTCGTTCGTTACTGGCCATGACCACTACATGGCTGGCAAGTATTACGCTCGTACACAGCAAAAAAGTGCCAACCATCAGTTCCAAGGACCTAAAGAAGTAAGCAGTATTACGTGAACTGCCAACTTAATGCTGCAATCGCTCGTGCGACGTATCGTGCGTGCACAAACGTAGTGGGGTCACAGTTGCGTTTGCGCTGCGTTCTACTGTGGCGCGGCCTCTCGGCTACTGTTGCCTTCTTTAGAGATTAGCTTTGGTCAATCGTGGACATGTTCAAGAATGCCACAAAACGAGTGATCCATGAGTTTGTACGATACAGAGCGATTGTCACGAGCTTTTTACGATGACCTTCCAGCCCAGACGACGAACTGACGAATGCTGGCAAACACAGCCGTAGCCTTATGCGTTGGACGCTGCATTTTCAGGTGAATAGCGTCGTGTGGCTGCCATCGCAAAATCAGTAAAGGTTGCGAACTCGACGTGAGCGGCTGCCCTTCTCTACACCATTTGCTCGGCAATACACTAGCTCATCCAGCACGGGGCACCACCACACGTCGGTGCCAGAGCCGCGATATTGAGACTGGGTCGGCTTCTATCGCCTACAGACTGCGCGCCCAGGACAAAACAGAGCAAAGGATAAAATCTAGGATCAGCGATCCGATGTTGTTAAAGCAGTACCTTTTGGCGTTGGTCGTTAAGGTGTATACCATCCAGAGAGTTCAGCAGCATTGCTGTCTATGGAACTATGATACAGTCAAGCGGTCAGTCGATCCGGACGAGCGGTCAGTCGATCCGGACGAGCGGTCAGTAGTGCACAGCATTTGCTCGTGGTGAGATGTAGAGACCACAGCGAGATGGGATCCTTTACTGGAGCCTCAACGCCTCACGGACGAGTCGATTGTACATGACATGCGGAGGATATTGGGGACGCTGGGATTCCTATTGAAAGGTCCCTGCCGCTCGGGAGTATGTGTCAGCTTCGTGCGCAAAAGAAGGTACGAGCGATACTAACTGCATACTGGAGCTGCTGCTCGTCTTGTGTTCGGCTCTCTTCGACACGGCGATGGTATCCTCTGCACTGACCAGCGCGAAGGAACAACAGATCCGTCGAAAGAGCAGCCACTTGTTTACTAGCGGTGTCCACATGGTCGAACGGCTGAGAGGCTGTCCACTATGCAATTTTTCACGCGGTACGAAACCCAACAAAAACCAGTCGCATGGGCGACTCGCTCATGGGTAGTGAGTGACTCGCTGTCGCGTGAGGTCAACAGCGTCGAGCGATCTTCAGCACCGACGGAATGGACGTGTTGTCTGTCCACAAGTGCGCGAGAGCTAATGAGTCGCACGTGTCGACACGTGGCGCAGGAATAAGAGGCATATGGACTGTGCGATTGTCTCTGGCTGCAACTGCAACTGCTGTAGCTGTAGGGAGCACGGCATACTTCGACAGAAGGAGAGAGAGACATTGTCGGACGTTGTAGCCACGTTCGTAGCATGACACATGACCCGACGGCACGCAGCAATGCTACGCATGAAGAAGAAGGTCACAGTGAGCACCGGTCGTGTGTGCCGGCGCAATGGCGTGCCGCGACTCGGGACACGACTGCAGGCCCTTCTGTACGTGTTGCCAGTGCCCGTCCACAACGACAGCGCGTGAAAGTGCCGGCGCACGCCGCATTGGGTTCCCACTAGCTGACAAGTTGTTGATGCGCGCACGAGTAGTGTCTGCCTCGATCAAAGGACACTGCCAGTCGAAGGCACATGGCAGCTCTTGACCAGCGGTAGCCACTTGTCGCAGACGTACCCCTCGCGTTCGTCGCTCGCTCGCTCCTCGTCGCGCGCAGCAGTCCGTGACGCCGAGCGATTGTGATTGCAGAGACTCAGGGCCCGAGCTCGACGCAGGTCGTCGGCTCTCGCCTGCGCTTGCATTGCACGACCAGAGAGAGCCACCGCCGGAAACAGAGAGAGTCGGCGCAGTCGCACTCGTCGGACGCGAACGGATCGTCTGCTGCCGCAGAGGCGATTGGAGTCGCTGTATCGAGTCAATCGAGCGGCCGGTCGCCACGTTGGACGAGACTCGGGCGGCGCACTCTACAGTAAGTGGACAGTGGACACAGTGTACAGTGCAGTTCGGCGACGACTGCTGTTGCTGTGATTGTGTATGTCGTTGTCGTTGTTGTTGTTGTTGTCGTTGTTGTCGTCGCTCTCTGGACCTGCGGAGGTCGGCAGTCGAGTTCTTACCCCGTCGAGCTCAAGTGCCCGTAGCGTTCCGTCCGCTTCCGCTCGACTCGATGGACTTTGTCGAGCTGCCGTCGGCGGTCGCAAGGCCCCGTGCGTGTCCAGCCGCCCCGTCGCAATGGACACCACCGCCTGCGGCGTCGTGGACGCGGGAGGAGATCCACATGATCCAAGAGCTGTTCCTCTCGGAGGAGAACGTGATTCAGATTCGAGACATTTCGATCCACGACGGCAGTAGGCAGTCGCACGTGGAGCACGCGCTCGCTGTTTCGGTGGCACCAGAGCGTGGCAACACCACGAGTATGCTGCTGTCCCCAATTGAAGCGGACGACACGTTCTCGCAGCCGGTCGTGGTGGACGACGAGAAAGAGGCCACGACGGCCTTCTGCTTCGAAGCGATTGACCCGTTCAAGACCGTTGCCATGGCGCCGCCGGACCGAATGGACGACAAGGCCAAGCGGGCCGTCTGGAGAGCGCCATTCGGTGTCGCTCGTGCCAGCGATGACCAGGCACTCGACCACGTGCTGGTTAAACTGCGTGCCAAAGTGGCGACGCTCGACCGCATCTACTACTCGCGCTGCATGAACGTCTCAAGTGCCGACGGTGTATGCGTTCACAAGATGAAGCTCTTGCTCGCTACGCAGCGACTCGAGCGTGTCATCCAGGGTCTGTCGCAAGAAAACGGCCGACTCAAGACCGACGCGTCGAGTTACGCTCAGCGCTGTGCCTCGCTCTTGCACAAGAGCAGCAAGAGTGGCGTCGAGCTACAGCAGCTGTGCCAGTCGATTGGAGAGCCAGTCTGTGCTGTGGCCGTGAGTGAAGGCATGACCACGGCGCTCCATTGCTCGATGGACGGCCAAGTGCTCCGCGATCAACACGACCAGAACGGATGGCGGTACAAGAGCCTCGTGACGCGGGACAACTTGTTTACGTACAACTTGTCGAAAGAGTATGCAAAGGACGTGGACATGCACGAGGTGATGCAAAAGTCGTGGGAGCACGCGTACAACGCCAAGCGCTTATCGAGTATCTACTACGGCTCTATCCACGTGCGTCTGGTCAAGCAAGTGGAGAAGAAGGCCATTGTGATCTACGACGTGGCCAACCACGACGCCACGCGCGTCGACCGCGTCGTTGCGGTGCTGTTTCGAGCCCAGATGGCGAACGGGTTCCTCTTGGGGGTGCGCTCCATCAACGCACCTCCAACGACTGCGTCCGATGGCGTCCGCCCGATGGACTGTACCCTGTGGCAGCGCTACGAGCGCAAGAAAGATGGCGGGTTCACCTTCACATCCGGTGGCCGCTTGTCGTATTCGTCACGGGCAGACGTCGAGTTCATGGCTGTCGAGATCCAGTGTCTGCACTTGCGGTGGGAGAATCGCGTACTGGGCAGCGCGCAGCTGCAACTGTAACGGCGTTTCTGCTGACTGCTGCTGGTTATTGCCAGCACGTTACGCATCGTATGGGACAGCAGCGGGCAAGTCGAGTGCGTGCAGTGCCAGTCGAGACGCTGTTGGAGGGCGCTCGTGGACAAAGCGACTCGAGCACCCACTTTTGCAGTGGGTATATATCTATATATCTATCGACGCTAATTTATTATTCAGACACTGCACACTGCACCTGTGCGTACGTACGTACATTCATTCGTAAGAACGAGTCCTTGTGCGTTCGCACTGCTGTACCTGCACAGAAAAGTGCGAGTCGTTTTGACGCACGGACGTGGACGCGTCCGTGCCGTCAGACTCTGACGTGGGCGTTTGTTGGCAAATGGCCCGAGCGTGAGCCCAATCCACTCGACAGTGGGTCTGTGCAAGCGACTCGGACAATTCCTCAGGTGATCTGCTGATTATTCCGGCCATCTCGTGGCGGCAACAATCAATTGGGTCTCCAGGATGAGCAGACCCCTAACTCGTTGCCTGCGATGCACATTCCACGAACGTTCCGTCGCTTCGTCAACTATAGAAACGTCGAGCACTTATCATGAAACAGAGGTGTTGTTTCTACGATGTTTTTTTCCTGTCGAAATTATAGCCACAGTGCGACCCGCAGGACCCACAAAAGCTCAACACGTCGACCAGTGAGTGCACATACCCAACGCCGAAGTGGTCGACACGCGATTGATGCAGCAGTGTTTCCGCGTTCCTGACCCACATGCGTGGCTCGTTTTTGCTGCAGAAGAAGAAGACCAAAGACATTGGCGCACGGTCCGAATGCTGTCATTGCCATTTGCAGACGTCTTATTTTTTTGGCAGGTGAGGTATGTTACAGTACGATTGCCGACTTAGGATTGTCGTTCGACTGCAGCCTATAGCCCACGTCGCGTAATAAAAGCAAATGATCGGACCCGTAAGGTGCTCCTGGCAGCACGTGAGAGCCGACACTGGTGGCGCTTGGACCCAACGGAAACGGATGCAGGAGTAGATAGAGCGTGGCCCACGTCGCAGTCCACATAATGTGACATCTCGCTCCAGTGATTACGGTCGAGACCCAAGCTGGTCAGTAGCAAGCGGACAACAGACTGGATTGTGCACAGAGAACACCTGTGTTGGGCCCTGTGTCGAGGGCAACGTTGGCCGCTGTAGTAGCCATGCGATTATACTCGCAAGAGTAGTGGACCCAGCTGACGACTGCAAGATCTTCAGCGATGTTCCGAGCCTCACGATACAGCGTGAAAGATAGGACTTGAGTGAAGGCCGGCGCATCCGAAGCTGCGTCAAAACCTTCCTGTTGTCCTCAACGATGTAAAGTGGCACGAGATTACTACTTCGTGCTTGTTACAGGCCATGGACGAGCTCTTTGTATGCTGCAGTGGTGTCCGTCGTACACGCACCTCAGTCAATGCCACGCTGTCAACCCAAATAATTGCTGCCGCATGAGTTATGACGCGTAAGTTGATTATAGTTGATCCGGCTATTGCAGACGTCTCAGGTGCAGGCGGAGCTCCCGAGAGTACGTCACAGACATATGCGGCCTGATCGGCTGTACAACAACTCGAAAAATGTCAAGCGACTGAGCTATGGATCTTCTTTCTATTTGACTAGACGTCAAACAGAATCAGACGTCCACATGATCTAGTCGGTAGGGCTTCCTTCGTCGCGGGTGCTCGCATGCTGCGGCATATTTTATGAGCTAGGAACGTATCACTACCGATAAAGCTGCTACGTAAAGTAAAATCATGCGACGAGAAGCATGTACATGAAGCAAGCACGCACGTTGGAGGCAATCACGCACGTTGGAGGGCAAGCACGCCTTGCAGTGGATGTTGCACTGTGAAGTACAGCTATTGTCGCGCTGTTGACTTGCGTTTACAGACAGCAGCGAAAGTTTCCCTGTGCACCTTGAATTCTAGCGCTTACCTTGTACCGCCCGGTGAGCTGTATCAAGCACTTATAACGGCCTCGGAAGATGTACGATCTTGTTCAGGCGGGCGATGAGGTTCTCGAGCATTGCACGGTAAACACATCGAGGGCCTCGTCCATCCGCAGTGTATCTGGTAGATTGCTATGGGTATCGTAGGATCGCTCTCATCTTGGATCGTGACACCTGATCCTCCCCGTCAATGCTTGACGGGGAGGATCTTGACTTCACTTCGATTTGCCTTGCAATGCCTGCGACGATTTTCTAGTAATCGATGACGTCTTACGATCCTTTTTATATGGCGAAGCGAGAAGTTTTGACTGACCGGTAAAGATAGCTGGAAGACCACGGCAGCAACGGGGTAGACGACGTTACACGACATCCGAACAATCCAAATGCCAGTGCGATCTGACCGGTACGTTTCCATGGAATCCTGCAATGTTACCTTTGAACACAAGATCCAGTAATCTGGAGATGGCAATCTGCACATGAACTAACATCGGCCATGGTAGAAACCTTCTTTTCACCCATCTAAAACACGTGAGGAGTGCGCTCACCTTGCAAGCTACACATCGCAGCATTTTATTGCGAAGCGCGAGCAATTGCTGACGACGTCGCAGTCGCTAGCTGGTCTCACCACTATCGAGATTATAAAAAAGGATGGCAGACGTTGCGGCAAACGTTGCGATGGATACCAACCCATCGCTTCAAGTTCACACACTATCCGATCAGGACACTGCTCGATAACTTGACAATCGCTTGCAGCACGACGTGAACCATTGGTTTGAGACATCACTCGAAGTTGGTAGCGGTCCGAGTACCTGTCGCTCGCACGCGAAAGGGCACCGGCAGCGCGTCAAAAGATGCCAGAAAAGTTGCGCTTTGCCCTATCGCACTCGAAGCTGTATTGACACCAGATATAGGATGGGGTGGTGCTGGTCGTTAACATTCCTCAATACACCTCACCTCAACAACAACAACAACAACAGCAACAACAACAACAACAACAACAACAACAACAACAACAACAACAACAACAACAACGTATCTCGATGATCTACAAACGATTGTGGCAGTAGCTCTGCTGTTTTACTTCTGGTAGCGATACGAGCATGCATCTACGTCGCATCGAGTGTAAGCGTCACGTCTAGTGTATTCGATTAGCTCAACCACGAGCAAAGTAAGGCACAAACTGAGTAAATACGTAGCAGGTTCTGCTGCATTGACGCACGATATTTGAAGCCTCTTTGCCGTTTCGTTACCGTATCTCCACAGCCTTTGCCTACGTCTCACGCGAACAAATTTGCCCCTCACAGTGACAAAAGTCATCACTTGATCGCTGTACCGAGAAGCGAATGGGCAAGAGCCTACCTTCGCATTTGCAACCTACGGAAGCAGCAATGTTGCTTAACATTACTACCGTAGCTCTTCCACGACATGGACGAGCTTGTTCTCCTCCTTCGGCTTCTCGAGTTTGCAATTTCCGAGTGAAGCCGAAGCCTTTCAATAACCTCGATCCATTGTTGCTAGGTGCCACGAGGACATTATCATGTGGATCTAGCATTCGACTTAGCGGGAACCCGTCTGCCCTGCGCTTTCAGACCTTCCGGGCAAAGGCTGCTATGAAACGATCGGGCAGACATTGTAGACCCAAGTCGCGCACTGTGCGCAACGGCTCTGCTACTTGCCCGTCGATTCCATGCGGCTGTAAAGCCAATACTATGGTAAGGCACAGTTGGAGACGAAGAAAGAGGCCTTCGCCAAAAAAGCGCGTCACTACACCAAAGTTCTGGTCAAAGTCAGTCAACGTGTCTGCAGTCACGTATACACGATGCGTCCTCGCGAAAGCGTACGAAGAAGCTGCGAATCAAAGCAGTATCGCGTCTCGAACCTGCACTTTACCAAATCGCCAGCTCGCGTGCTTTGCATACTTTTGTCTGACAGACATGGCACCGTTGACTTCGTCAATCCGAAAGACGTCGACGCCTTCAATCTGTCCAGTATGCACTCGACCACGACATCGCCAACGACGTTGCGATTCAGCATGCGCAGGCAAAGCAACTCATGCTACTCGAGGTCGTAGCACTGTTCTGGGTGCATCAAACGGACAAATGGTGGCATGAGTCTGCTTGCTCCAAAAGCTTGCAATCAACGTGACTTGACATCGGCGGGATCCCGAATCACAATGCACGTAGCGTACATGTTGTCATCCTTTGCGCCGTATCCTATCCTCGGAATGTCAGCGCATAAAGCTGTCGAACTACTCGCAGCAAAAGCCGATCAAGTTTGGTCCGATGCATTGCGCTTGAGCCGGTGCTTGTTTACTACGTGGGCATAGGCTACACCGTCTGCTGCAGTCATGTCGGCACTTCGTTCCTCTTCTGACACTTGCCAATGCTCTTGTTAACCTACAACGAAAGACACGCTGTGTCACTATCGGCACTTGATTCAATATGCACTGGTCCCAAAGAGATACTGCGTCTTCAGTCCGAGCGAGGCGGCTCGTCCAGCAACAACTTCGCAGTGCTGCATCGGCGTCAAGTGAACCTGCGTGCACCGACAGGTGCAAACTATCAGCTCCATGGACAGTATTGTCACGAGATACGACCGATGTATCTGCGTGGGTTCACAAGCGTATTAGTTAGCCGTCATTTTGTACACAGACACCAGCAACACTTTGACGAATAGCACTGCTTCAGCAGCATCCGGGGGGTCATCGTGGTGAAGGGTGACCACTCTTTTACCTGCAACCACTAAACACCGCGCCCAAGTAGCCGACCTGCACTTCCCATTCGCGATGCAGTACTTCGTGCTGGACGAATCGATCAGAACGCCGTGTGCTCGAGCTGTCTCGTTGCAACAAACGCTTCAGCATTCAACGCAGCATCGCACGAACATCCTGCAGACTAGCGATAAGCGAGAAATGCAGTGATTGTGCTGTCCTGCACGGGCTGTTAAGTTCATGCAACAACCTACACGACACGCGACTGCGACGATTCAATGCATACGCTTGAGTTGCTTTTCCAAGTGCTGTCCTCGAAACACACACAAAACGACTAGGCGACGGGCTTTAGTTTTGATGACCACATACGGAGCAGTACGTGACTTGTGCAGTCGACAACGCACCTTTGATAAGCGGAAACTGATGAATTGAGCATATTTGCTGTAGCGAAAGTACTTGTGACTACTTGCGCGATGGCCGAACGGGTGTTGCAGGATCGATGCGACGCTGAATTTTATGTTCGTGGCAGTCCTGTATCGCCGACCTCAAAGGGCGCTAAAATACAGTAAACAAGCGCCTCCGCAGTGTCACCGATCCATTAGCTGCACATTGATGACCAATTGGGCACACAAAGCAATCCGGAGAAAGCATCAAACGAAGATGTTTAGCTGCAACAACGCCGTCAATTAGCGGCCTTTCAGTCATTATTGTCTTCCATTGCCGAGAGCAGCGCATCTCACAAATTGCTCATACGTAGTGCTAAGCCGCACAGCCCAGCCTTCTCACCTCATGACGGGCTACACCTCATATCTCCAGTCCACCCACGCAGATCATCTTCGTTTCTTGGTACTCTTCAAGACCCATCGATGAGCCTTCACGCCCTAGCCCGGACTGCTTCACACCACCAAACGGAGCCTGTACATTTGAGATCGCACCCGTGTTTACACCGACCATGCCGCACTCCAACGCAGATGCAACGCGCCACGTGCGTGACAGATTCTGTGAGAAAAAGTACCCAGCAAGACCAGCTTCTGATCCATTTGCCATTTCAATCACCTCTTCTTCCGACGAGAATCGAAACAGCGGCACGATAGGTCCGAAAATCTCTTCACTCCATACACGCATTGTGTCGTCCACGTTGGCCAACACAGTAGCCTCGTAGAAATTGCGTCCAAGGTCGCTTCGCTTGCCACCAACAAGAGCCATTGCACCGTTCTTGACTGCATCCTCCACAAGCTCCGACGTCTTCAATAAAGCACTATGGCCTATCAGTGGACCAAGTTTCACACCCTCTTGACGAGGCGGACCCATCTTGAGCTGCTTCACACGTTCCACCAACTTGGCTGCAAACTCGTCGTAAATGCTCTCGTGGACAAAGACGCGGTTACTACACACACACGTTTGGCCCGTGTTGCGAAACTTGGAGGCTATCAAGCCGTCCAGTGCCTTGTCCACGTCAGCATCTTCAAACACAATGAACGGAGCGTTGCCTCCTAGTTCGAGCGACAAGCGCTTCACCGTCTTGGCCGACTGCTCCATCAACAGCCTCCCGACGCGCGTCGAGCCTGTGAACGAGATCTTCCGGACATCCTGACTGCTGGTCAACGTCTCGCCAATCTCTGCCGACTTGTCATGTGCAGCCGGCACAACATTCAGCACACCCGGCGGCAGGCCAACGTCTTCGGCAAGTTTCGCCAGCGCCAGCGCCGACAGCGGCGTCTCAGCAGCTGGTTTGACGACTACTGTGCACCCCGCCGCGAGACACGGACCGAGTTTGCGCGTGACCATCGCCAGTGGAAAATTCCAGGGCGTCAGAATCCCACAGACACCGACGGGCTCTTTGCAGGCCATGATCTTGTGGTCGCGCGCGGACGGAGACGGCAAAAAGCCGCTCGCGCGCATGATCTCGTGCGCGTAAAAGTCGATAAAACCCGCCGCGTAGGCGACTTCGCCCCTGGCTTCCAGCAGCGGTTTGCCGCTCTCGAGTGACGCAATGAGCGCCAAGTCGTCCGCGTGTGAACCGATCGCAGCGTACCACTTCTGGAGCAGCGCCGAGCGAAACGCCGGTGTGGTCCGGCGCCACTCTTTCTGCGCGGCACACGCAGCGGCGACGGCCTCGCGCGTCTCGAGGCGACCCATTGATGCGACGTGCGCAATCGCTGTGTCGGTCGATGGGTCCGTCACGGCAAAGCGCTCGTGCGCGTGCGCTTCGACCCATTGGCCATTGATAAAGCCAGTCGACTGCAGCAGCGCCTTGTGCTGCACTTCGCTGTGGAAGAGCCGGCGCGCGGTGGAATGTGCGGTGGCGCAACGCAGCGACTTGGCGGACGCCCACATGCGGAACGCGACAACGCGACTCGACTTTGGTCGCTGCCGATCTTTTCGGTTGCACGCAAATTGCAAAGTGAGCGACTGGAGGGTCGCGGCGGATTGAGACTTGACGTTTGTATGGGGCCGCCGACGTATCGGCGTCTGCTGTTCCGTGTACGTTGAAGGAGGCGCTGGCGTCGTTGGCCAATCACAGGCGCGCGCGAGCGTGCGGTCGAGACGCTCGGCATAAGTGCGAATCAAGCACTCGCTGCTTGCGCTTCCGGATCGATGTGGTCCACAGATTATCGTGCGTCTGCCACACCATTTTACCGAGCTGAGCGCGGCATCATATTGTCCAATGACAGCCGCGTATCACGAGACGAAGTGCGAATCAAGCACTCGCTGCCTGTGCTTCCGGATCGATGTGGTCCACAGATTATCGTGCGTCTGCCACACCATATCACCGAGCTGAGCGCGGCATCATATTGTCCAATGACAGCCGCGTATCACGACACGAGCATGGCACGCCCGCGACTGCTGGTGCTCTACGGTAGCGAGACGGGTACAGCTCAAGACGTGGCCGCGTTCGTGCAGCAACGCGCGTTCAACCGGCAGCTTCTGGACACGCAGATGTACGCCATGGACGCGTTTCCAGTGACGCGGGAGCTGCCTCAGTGCGCCACTGTTGTCTTTATTGTGGCTACAACCGGGGACGGCGAAGTACCTGAGAACATGCGCAACAGCTGGCGCGCGTTGTTGCAAAAGAAACTCGGGCGTGCGTGGCTGCAAGGCGTCCGCGTAGCAGTTTTCGGACTGGGCGATTCGAGTTACGCCAAGTATAATGCCGCAGCGCGACGTTTGCACGCACGTTTGCTGCAGCTGGGCGCTCTTGAGCTCATTGAGCGAGGACTAGGAGACGACCAGCACGCTTTTGGCTACTTTGGAGCGCTGAATCCGTGGCTGGAGAAGCTCTGGACGGCGGTTTTGCAGCTGCATCCGCTGCCGGCAGGACTGACAGTGGACGACTCGCCAAAGCCGATGGAGCCTCGCTACACTGTCGTCCTGCATGGCGCTGAGGAAAAAGAGGTGGAGAGTGCACGCATGTTGACGCCAAGAACGGACGAGTCGGATTTTTATGCGCCGCCGCGCACGACAGTGGGGCGCGAGAAAGGTATTTATTGGGCTTCGGTTGTCGAGAACAAGCGAATCACAGCTGAAGATTGGGACCAAGATGTGCGGCACGTGGAGCTTGACATAAGCGACGGCGCTCAAGTGGGTTATACGGCCGAGACTCCATTCAGGGCTGGCGATATTGCAGTTGTGTATCCTGAAAACGTAACGGAAGCCGACGACATGCTCAAATATCTGGCGCTAGACGGCGACACTGTAATTTCGATCCATGCTGCTGATGGCTCGAAGCAGTTGGATTTGCCTTCTCCAGTGTCTCTTTGTGATCTATTTTCCAAATACTTGGCGATTCTGGAAACTCCGCGGCGAAGCTTCTTCGAGAGGTTGTCGCTGTTCGCTACAAATGAAGAGGAGGTGAGCAGTTTGTGTATCGGAATCGATGCTGATCTCGTGCCGATGCTAATTTTGAATTCCTGTCCATGCTCGATCTTAAAAGAAAGAAAAGCTGAACGAGTTGGCGTCAGCTGAAGGTGTAGATCTTCTCTACGACTACTGCATTCGCGAGAAGAAGACGTACGCAGAGGCGCTGACGGACTTTCCTAGCGCAAAAGTGCCACTGCCTATTCTACTACAGCTGATCCCTCGTCAACAGCCCCGATCGTACTCCATCTCGTCGTCAGCCCTCCTCCATCCCGGACAAGTAAGTCACTTTGTTTCTGGCGCTTTAATGCATCTCTAGTGTGCTTATTTTGTCGATCTGTTAGGTTCACTTGACCGTGGCCATTGTAGACTTCTTGACTCCGTACAGGCGCCGTCGACATGGTATTTGCTCGTCTTTTTTTATGTCATTGGACCCATCCAAGAAGCAAAAGCGCGTTGCAATGTGGATCAAGCAGGGTCTCTTTGAGCCTCCTGGCCTTGAACGAGACATGCTGCTTATCGGTCCAGGAACTGGTTTAGCCAGCATGCGGGCGATGTTGCAGGAGCGACAATACTTGCGAAACCAAGCGAGCGGCGCCAGCTCTGGGTCCATGTGTCTCTACTTTGGATGTCGCCACGAAAGCAAGGTATGAAGTCGTAATGTCGGTTACATGATATGCCTTCGCGTTCCGACTGCTGTGTGATCTGTTGTACAGGACTTTTTGTACGGAGACGAGTTGCGTGGACTCGTGGCATCGGGCGATCTCACCGAGCTGCATACGGCGTTCTCACGTGATCAGGTTCGATTCTTCAGATCGGATGCTGCTGCCTTATCAGGTGTTGGTCTGACCATGCATGTGCCACTTCATGCAGGATCACAAAGTTTACGTACAAACGCGGCTTGCCGAGAACAAAGAAGCTGTCTTCAATTACATCATGCACGGCGAAGGCTGCATCTACATTGCAGGCTCGGCCAAACGAATGCCAACTGACGTGTACGCGGTGCTGCGAGATATTTTGCGCGCCGTCGGCAATGTATCACTATCAAGTGCAGAAACGATCATGAAGACGTTGGTTCGCAAGAAGCGCTACGTCGTGGAGTCGTGGTCATAGAGAGGATCCATACAACATACACCACGTATGACTGCATCTAGCGCAGTGTTAAAGCGCAACAATCACACTCAGTTTCGCGTTCTTTTGCTTTAACACTCGAGAAAACAATAAGTGGTATGAAGAACGTCGAGCTCGCAGCGCAGGTGCGATCGTTTGTAAAGCTCGCAAACCTCACTCAGACATCTCAGCTGCACGCATGGAACCTCAAGTCGCTGCAACGAGCTTTGCAATGGGCACACGCAGCCGAAGATGCAGTAAGCGACGGCGAGTTCCTGCAGAGTGGCATTGATATGCAGATCCGGGACTGGTTCCCAGTGGCCACGCTGCCTACGTTGCCACTAGACGTCACGTTGACAGCAGACGCCCTTCGTCACGCACGCGTGCATTTGTTGCAATCGATTCTTCACAGTCCATTCTTAGCGTCTCATCCAGCACGATCTGAAGTGCTATGCGCTGTGCTAAACGAGTTGCAAACGAGTCGCGAGGATGCTGCTACCACGTTGTCCATGGAAGAGCTAGAGAAGCATGCGCCCCACAGGTAATCGAGTTGCTACTTATGGCATAATGAAGTATGGACTAGCTCATCCGGTGTGATTGTCTCTATCTCTTTCTTCAGTGCATTGCTGACCGAGAAGGTGGTCGGAGCTTCTCGCATGAAGGTTTTGTTGGCGATAGCTCGTCGAATGAGCGAAAGTTGCAAGTGCGTTAGGGTACAAGGTATGGCTGCGAGGAAATGACAAGGAACAGATGAAGCAGTCGTGATGGACTACCATATAACGAATTGCTCGGTGGTGCTGTGCTGCGTCAAGTGCTTACAGGGTGGATCGAAGTGCTACCGCTGAAGAGCTACGCTTTCTCGCCCCGCACACTTCAATTGAAGTCCATGGCGACAACGTTGCAGCGAAATGTAGGAGATGCCCGTGCCGCAAACAAGCCAGGGACGTACCAGACCTTTTTGAAGGACCTGCGCGAATGTTTCGAGGCACCTGAGAGTCAAGAGGTTCGGGTACGAGTTTTTCCTACGCGGTGCAGTGCAAATGTTGGGATGATGGGGGAGACACTGTGACACAAATCGCGTGCATTGCAGGAAGTGGTGTTGTTGATGCTAGTCATGTGTGAATGGCCTCGAGAAGAGCCGTCGCAGCTTCGAGGAATGAAGGAAGATCTTGTGACGATCGTGCGTGGGTGGATAGCGTGTAAGCCCATTCGATTCTGGACTTTTCGGCCCTGGTTGGCGGCAATGGTAGCCAGTCAGTCGGAAGACCTGGCACGCGCGTACGTATGCAAACTATTCGAGGCAGGACTTTTGCCACCATGTAAGATGGATACGCTATGCAATCGAGGTCGAGTCGTGTCGATTGTTTGTGCTAACCCTGACGGTTCTATTCCAGGGGAGGGTGAGTTCGCCGAGCGTGTCGCGACGTTGGTCTTACAGCCCAAGAACGTCGAGCATGTACTTGAGCCATTCCTCATCAACTTGGACCTGCGCTTGCAACATACTTACTTCAACGTGAAACTCGATCCGTGAGGTCGATTTGTAGTACGTACGCAAACGTTTCCTGACCTAGCGCTTCGCGGGGTAGACGGAAAGATGAGAGAGTGTTGCAGTCAATGGATCCTAGTTCAACGGCGATCGCCACGATAGAGCATTCAAACGATTTCCTCCATTGATCGGCCAGTGGGTCCAAGAGTGTCGTGACCAACGGACTGAACGATGTAAGAATAGCAATCGCAACACGGTAACATCCATGGCAAGAAGTTTCTGTCTGCCACGCGAACGCGTGGTCTCGACTTGATGTCGCGCAGCACATCAACTCTGTATACACCCTTCTACTCTGCAGTTCCTTGGCACATTCGACAACATACTCGACCAGGCGATTGTGCCAAATGGTTCGTCGCACAGTGTGTAGTGTTAGCTGCAACAAGTGCCGGCAACCGCTACACTTAGCCCCCGTTGAGGCGACACTTTCAAATCACGTAGCAGCTACTATCGGGCTGTCGTGATCCTTCGTTTTCAAAAGTCCGCATCGCTTTGTCCACACAATCACCTCATCTGAACAACATGGTAAGGCCGTCTACGAAACCTGAAGGTCAAATGATGACACCGTCGAAAGTAAGCGAAGCGATTACGCTTCCAGCATTCGTGCCATTCCCACTTAGTCGACATAGTAAGAAAACGCAACAGTTCTGGTTTCGACGGAAGACTACAAATCGCGAGGCCAGCGTCGGCACACTTTTGTGACCACGTAGTAAGTAGAGAAAGCATGATCGAAGATTTCGCTACTGAAAATGCGCGCCCGGCGCGGTTCGGCCTTCCACTGGGGCCCCGTGAAGGACTTAACTAGATTGGGATGTGAGTTATGTTTTACTTTTAGAGCTAAATATAAACTTTTAGAACTTATTGGAACCGCACATTGACCACCACAACTACCAGAAGGCAGATAGGCGTCGACCAGGACAGAAATGTCCGCAATGACACCCATTTTTTTCACAATGTCGTCTGTATAAACGACCGGAAAAAGAGTGTGAGCCTCGGCATCGCGCCCATACTACAATTACATCGGATCTCATCACACAATATGGACTTTTGAAATGAAGCTGCGACTCATGTGTAACAATCTAAGGAGTATCTACGTGACGGATCGTTGTTCCATCAATTATTAAGTAGTATTCTCACCCAACGGTTGGGACTACCCAAAGCTGCATAAAGCACGAAGTGAATGTTTAATGTGCTATTATCGCTTTTCTACTGTGCCCGCATATTTTTGCTTTCTGTCAACTCCGTGACACCTGTAACGATAAGAATATGCAAGCAATAACGTCCATCGCCTGTTGGATGGCCAGTCGTCAGTCGCTAGCAATAACTAATCAGTGACATTGTGGCTAATTGACTCTTGCGTTTCGTAATCTATGCTTGCGTTTCTACATGTTGAATCGTTATTGATGATAGGTAAGCACTTCCTGCGACCACGCTGTCCCGCTCAACTGTCTTCCACATCATTTACAAATCGATGCCGTACCTCATGCTTCTCTGTCTTGACTAAATCGTTATATAAAAGAAATTCCAGTAATTTTATAACAACTTACGGGTATATTAGCTCCGGATTGTGGCACATACTTGAAAAAAATCTTCACGGACCGTGACAGTTGCCGCAGTGTTTCTTTGATCCTCATCGATACTTAATCGACGATCTTGACAGCTGAGTGATACCAACATCGTTCTAGATGACTGGTGTAACCTACAACGGGTAATGACCATACTGCTTATCGTCGCGCGCCTATAAAGCTATTTTATTACGAACGAGCATTTCAGGCTAGAGGTCGAGTATAAACATGAGTTTTTGCCTAGCGATTAGAGTGGAAGCGATCTTCAGAAGGGTTAGCTAACTAGGATTTACTAATTTACTTGGTAATAACTCGCTTCGCTGATTTTACACGCGCCCGTGGAATCGTAATGGATGCAGCATATTATCTCTGTTCTCTAGGAAAACGTGATGCTGAGTGCTCGACTTTTTTACGGTGTCACGTGAAAATTTGTCACCAGGTCGGAGTGTCACTTAGTGGACATGTTATCGACCTCCTGCATACGCAGTTCTTATGATGTTCGAGCTGTCGTCGATTTGGTCTTATCTTGAAATCCTGGTCATTTTTCGACTTTACCACCGCTCCTTACGGGATTAATTAAATAAAACTGGATCTCGTTCTACACTATTAGCAAATATGCTTGCATCTTTTTCCACAAAGTTAAAGGCAGACATTATATCATTTTAGGTGATACGAATTAAAAGTCGGCTGCAATTGCTCAAGCGTTGATTGTGTACGTCTAAATAACACTTTTAAGTCCGGACAAAGACACATTTTGTAAATACTATTATTATTCGTCACTCCGTGAAGCGCTCCAATATTTGGGTAGGCGTCGACAGACATTCTGCGTAAGATCTATCACTGACACGAATGTCATGTATGGAAGACCAACTCACACACATCAATTCAAACTAGGCTTCAAATCATTGCTTGCACGAAAACATAAATTTTCATTGGTCCGATAGACGTTGTAACGGTTCAGACGATCTAAAAAAGCGTTTATTTGCATCAGAAGTTTATATCGACTCAATTACTGTTGTGAGTTATGGCGTTAGTCGCATCCTTAAATCGTTGCCACATATGCTTATCTTTTTCTTCTTACATTTTCTGAAAAACATCAACTCCTTGATTGAACAAATCCCCGCACTACGTTTTCGGTTATGTTATGGTAAAATTTTGGGGAGTTATTGAGTCCGAATGACACTCGTAACCATGTAAAATGCTCATGAACGCACACAAACACTGATCTATGCCTAGCAAGTTCAGCCATCATGCCATCATGACATTCTTTAGTCACTTGCCGCATAGACAGAGCAGATTCAACGGGAAACTATCAATTGTGGTAAACAGGTAATCTACATGTGTAATAGCGCATTAAGATCTAGAAGCGACTGCATCAATCAATACACAATCGATGAACAACCGGATGTGTACCCAAATTGTTCAAACAATTATAATAGAACTTTTAAAGAGCCTTACAGATTGATCAAACGTTAACTAGTAAGTGACGAACCATATCTAAATTTTAACTTAACTGCTTTCGCACAATATATGGTTGATTGCACAACCAAAAATCCACGTTTTTGTATTTACAAATTCGGTCGGAGATGCATACATGATTGGAGATTGAGATTTGTTTTACCTCCAACATACCGTGCAGAATGTCCAGTTTGAGATACAAGAAGACATTGTCGGGTTCAATTTTTTTATTGGCCTCATGTGTTTTAACCTACATGTCACACACCACTACAAAAGCTGGGGCGAAAGTGCAATCCTACTAAATACAATAAGTTGCTCGTGGCTTTTAAAACCTTGTGTGATAATTTTATAAGTGATGGAACACCTAATTCACCCTTAATTGTTGAATATAGTCGATATCGTCTTAACTTAATCTGGTAAGTAGCCTAACTTGTAAGATACTTATTCGAACTTGTATTATCGATTACGTGATCAAAGGTACCATATACTTTGCGTAATTTATGTACGGTTGCTGTACAGACATGTAGACTGATGTTTTAACGCGTTACACAAATCGGTCAAGTTTTTCGATTCACATGCTTTTATACCAATTCCCTTTATACTTTAGTGTGATTCACGTGACTGGTGCATGTTGCTGAACAACATCCTATCGCGTTATTTCTAAAACTTTTGTTAGCTTGACTTTGTTCCAATCATTCGCGTTTGCTTCTTCTGATCTCGACTTGATTGACTATGAGTCCTAAAGCCGTGATTCGTTCTTAGCGGGTAAGTCAATTTTTAATGGATTATAAGGCGATGTAAGTGTCTGCTTGTGTCATTTGATGAATATGTATATCAGTCCAGTACTATCAAATTACATTGTCTAGCTGAACTGCTAAACGCCTCCATAAGAAAAATATCGTAGCTTGACCTTCAACAAAATTCGCTGCACTTGACCTTTGACCACTTAGTGAGTTCGTTAACACACATATCGTTTGGGCTAATAAAGATGTATTTTTGATCATGTTTCGTTCATATGTTTTAGCCAAAAAAGCTTATATAGCGCATACATGTCTAAATGTCTATACATGAAATATCGTGGCATTTCGTGGATTTGGATCTATGCTAGTGGTGGCTGACTCAATAAGTATCTTGCATATTTCTCCTGTTATTTGTTAAAAGCTCTATTTCATCACTTCTTGGTATGCTAGTACTTGACGAAGCCATTATTACGCTTATAGACGTACGTAACTATTTTCTCATGAATACATACGTAAAGTACCTACAGAAAGATTATAAAACAGTGGTGAGGGAACTATAAACCCTCTTAGCAATTTGACGTTCATCTAACTAATGGTCGGCGAACTGGGGTTGACGAACCGGAGATCGACGAACTAGAGGTCGACATACTCACGTGATAGTGCTGAGCGCTAGGAGACCGAACGTCAGCTTAACAGCTTAGCTGCATCTAGAGCTTAAGAAGGGTTGAGAGCTACTCAAGCTGACTCGGCGATACAGAAAAAGGGATCAATCAATAAAGTGCAGAGTTTCCTAAGTTGAAGGCGCGTACAAATTAAGGTAACTTTCTCCGCGGGCTAGATTATACCTGTCGTCGAAAAGTCGAGAGGCATAGCTTGTAGACATATCGACTAGGTAGCGCCAAGAGGTTAGGAAGACCCGGGTCGGGTAACGCTTGATACCAGCGAAAGAAGCAGTCTCGTTGCCGACTAGACGGCAAACCTCAGTAACAGAGACCATTGTGAGTCTCATCGACGACGAGACGGTGAGCCCGGTAGATGCGTCGAGTGACCTGTAAAACGGGTAAGGCGTCGGTTTTCATCCGTTTGTTTCGTGGTAACAGAAAGTAAGAGATTTAGAAGCTGCTGAGTACAGGCTGTCTTCTATACAAATAGATAGGTTGCGAGGAATCAATTAGGCGAAAGCTACAACGGGGTTTAAGGAGCAAACCGCGGAGGAAATTATTCT